TTTCTCCATATGATTTTTTTTTCTTCTTGCACATATCCATACATTTATAATGGTACAATGCAAGTTATAAAAAGACTTTGCTCTGCTTGAAGATTTCTAGTATTAGGATTATTGTTAGAAAGTGGTTGTTTGAAAATACTTTGGCCTGTGACAGCATCAAACCCAATTTTATAACATAGTGTTAAACTTGTAATAGTTGAAATAGTAGCAAGAACCAGTTGTTGAAGTTGATAAATTCTTGTTTCTGTGTGATCGATTAGACCTTGTAAATTTATTTCGACTCCCTGATCGCTTATTATCCATGAATTTGTAGATGGAAAACACTTTTCCTTAGATTCCCGTATGCTCTTATAAGGCGGGTATAAACAGCAGCCATGTTGCATAGCTTGCAATCTAAGATGCTGATATGAATTTTTTGTGAGGTTGCAATCTAATAGCAAAGCCAGAGCTTCATCAGCAGTATACATAGTGACTTTTAAATTAGAAATTTCTTTTGCAACAGACTGAACTATTTTTGATTCCGCAACTTTATCTTCGTTCTTTAATCGAGCACTAGCTGCACTGAGCAGAACTTCAGTTGAATGAGATGTAGCAAGTTCTAAGGACCTTCTTTTTTTAGTAGATAAACTTCCTTCATCCTCGGGAATCTTTGGACATCCGCGTTTAGAGGTAAATGAGGAAGATGATGATACATTTGTGTAAGTTGAAGGCTCATTATAAAGTTCGTGTTTAAAAGTAGAAGATGCAACTGAAGTTGAAGCAAGCATTTTAATGGCAGGTTGTCACAGCCAAACCGAATTTTGATGAACAAAACGATCAAAAGTCCTAGATGCTGTTTTCCACTTGGTATTTAAATGAAGTAAAAATAAATTGATAGTCTTCTTAATTATGCTGTTGTCAATACCATAACTGGAGCATTTAGACACAAGGAAGGTAGACAAAAGTTTCTTATTTCGTGAATCAAATAAAGCATTTAACTTTCCACATTTCACTGATTCCCGTAAAAAGTCAAAAAGAGTGTTGTTTAGAATCAATTCATCTTTTGGATTTGTATTACTCTCCATTATTAGTTTCTTGATTAAAATAAACTTAAGTTAGAAATTAGACAATACAGTTTATTGCAAATAAATTTTGTAATTAACCTTCAACTTATATGATGCAACTTTTTAAGCTATAAAATTCTTCATTTACAACTAATCAACAAATAGTAGCAAGCGATAATGATGCCGTGTATACAAACTTATTCTCAATAAACCGCCTAGTATCATTAAAATGCAATATCAATATAACGCAGTATAAACATTAAAGTCAAATTTACTTAATAAACAATAAAAATTATTTAATCATTCATCTTTCAAGAGCTTACAACAACGTTTACATCATTGAGTATTGCACACATTAACAATAAGATGGAGCGCAAGCAATTATGTGATTTTCAAAATATCTTTGTCATAAAACTAATTACAGTATACGCACAACTTTTACAATCTGCTTTATTTTATAAATTTGTTATCGATAAGACGTTACATAACTTTCTAAATTTCTGATACAGCTGCTTATTATACCATTCACAAATGGTATAGAACATACTCTGGCATTTTACGTACATACATGTATCGTACGCATTTGTGAGTGATAAAGCTAGTCAAAATAAACTTTAATTAAAGTTTTTATTTATGTACATTTCATTCAGAGTGTAATAAAATAATACGTGATAAATAAATTTAGTATCTGCACATACTGTATGAATTATTATACAAATGCAATTAAAACTACCATGTTAAAAAGCACATTTGAAATAGCACGTGCAGCTCGCAAATTACCATGCAGCTTATTATGGGGCACACAGGGGCAGATAATTTTAATAAAAATTTTTTTGTTATCATCCAAAAGTAATTAAAAAAATATTAGCAACATGTTTTTACATGTTTTTTAATAACACGTTTAGTTACTCGGCTACGTAGCTCCTTATGACTTCATTTGTTACTGCTTTTGTAAACTTGCAAAATAATTAGTTATATGTTACCGTGTATTTTTAAATTACAAAACTACAATACATTTACATATATATGTAGATAATAACTTCAATTTGCTATGTTATCATAAAGTTTTATGAATCGGATATATATAATATTTAAAAAGCAACATTTTGATTCTAAAGACAATGCATTATAAAATCAATTTAACAATAATTCTATTTACTAAAACATAATATTACAACCATTTAAATTTTCTTCAGGTTACACACTTTCAAAAAAGATTAAAAATTTTTGAATTGTTAAAGGTTGGTTTTGCTCATTTTTTTAATTTTTGCTCACTGCTGGCCCACTGTACGGTCTTACCACAGAGCACCACGGAAGAGTATTTAATCAACTTTCTTTGCATTACCGCAATTAGCAAAACGGTCTAACTCCGGTAGTTGCAATTAGATTGCTGTGCTAATTTCGGTTTAATTGCGGTAATCTTTAAACTGCAGTATCTTAAGAAAAGGTAGTTTCAAAAGTACAACATGTTATAAGATCGTCAACGGTAGCCGGAAATTTTTTTATGAAGTTCTTAAGTGCATTACTTTTTAAAGTTTGAACTCTAAAAAACCCATAAAAAGATATACCGCAGTTGGGTTTATAATAGGGTTGTTCGCCGAAAAACAAAACTTGCGAAAATTTCGCATCTTTATCTACCGTAATAAAATTGTTATTGCGGAAGTTGCACATGCAAAAATGCACATTCCGTAACGCGCAATACGAAAATATAAATAAATAATATATATATATATATATATATATATATATATATATATATATATATATATATATGTATATATATATATATATATATATATATATATATATATATATATATATACATATATATATATATATATATACATATATATATGTATATATATATATATATATATATATATATATATATATATATATATATATATATATATATATATATATATATATATATATATATATATATATATATATATTATATATATATATATATATATATATATATACAGTAATATGCCGTTAAGTTGGACTCTCTATGAACAGATAAACAGTATGTTTTTCTTTTTAAAAAGTATAAAGAGGATGTGTGATAAACAATTTAATACTTTATTATAAAGAACGAGAGATCTCTCTAAAGGTAAATGATACCAGAAAGAGTAAAAAGAGAAGAAATATATGTGAAACAGCGGGATGTGAACCTGGGTCTCCGCGGCCAAATGTCTTAACTAAATGAGCTATACGTTCATTCAACTAAGTGAATAGTAATATTTATTTATTATATAATTAAGAAACTATATAAAACAGAATTTACAGAAAATGATACGTATGCAAATAGGATTCTATATATCAGGAAAATGAATAGTAATGTGAACCTTTAGTTGTTTATAATTAATATCTGGACTCGAAAACTAGTTACTTTTAATGGAACACAATAGGCTGTAGGAGCCTCAGGGAAATTATATTCAGAAATGATTATATTAGACTCAGAGTTAGCTAGAAATTATTACAAAGTGTTTAGGACAGATGTCTAGTACAAAAAGCACAAGATTTAAAGCAAAATGATTTATATTATTTGAAAAAGTTGTTTTACGTACATTTCATCATAATTTAAGTAGAACTTATTAAAGCAAGGGAAACGTGTAGAATTAAGCACAATGAACTCAATCTTAAAAGAATAACTAACAGAAGAGAGGTTGTCACTATTATGAAGGTGACGAAAGATCTGTAATATAGAACATGGAGGTCAAAAACTGCTATCATATGTAAAAAGAGTTTGATGAATAAAAGTTACAATGGCTGCGGGATACGAACCCGGATCTTGCCGGATCTGCGGCAAATTATCACGTATCTAACTGATTGAATTATACGATCTTATACTTAAATTTATATCTTATTAAAATTAAAAAACAATATTTTCTAAGATCTATACTTCGAAAAGCGTATTTAAACAGGACTCTACATACCTTTAAAATCTGCTAGAACTTTAGTAACGTGCACACTTTTAGAAATTATTGAAATAGGTATATTTTATCAGAAATATGCTTAAGCTAAAGCATATTTTTGAGCCTCTTTTTACTATTTGCTTAAGCATATTCAAACCTGTTTCAAAAATTTCATATGCTTTAAAAAAAAAAACATGTATATTTCTACTCATCATTCTTATTTTTATATACGTAATGAATTCAAAAAACATCGTTATATATATTTATTATGGCACGTTTCGTAAGTTTATTTCCGTTAAGAATTCTTTCGTATGTTGTGATCCGAAATACTTTCGTTTCGAAAGAAATTTTATTTTTTATCAATATTTCTAAAAATAAAACCATAAAAATTTAATATGTTATTACACTGAAAATAAAAATTTATTATAAACATTTTGGGATTTAAAGATGTTAATTTTTACAATTAAAATCAGTCTGGCAAACAAATTTTCTTTATAGACTTCAAAACGTCGTTTGGCGAAAATGTTTGTTTTGCAAGTGCGACTCCCGAAACCGCTACTTTCGTATGTTGCAAAATAGTATGTCAACTTGCGAAACGCTAAATTTCGGAAGTGGCTTTTGCGAAATGAACATCGGCGATTTTAAATGTTTTGTAACATTCGGTACGAAAAAATCTAATTCCTAGTTCTCAATCTCCTTACGAAAGAATGTTGTTTTTCCGGAATTGCACGAAATCCTCCGGTTAACAACCCTAGTTTATAAAACGTATTTTTTTTTAATTATTTCTTTATTATTATTATTTTTTTATGTAATAAATACTCAGGTGCTTTAACTATTTTGTCAGAGAGCACTCGGGAGGGCCCTAATTTAGAGAACTCACTAATTAAGTATTCGCAAGAAATAATTTTTAACTGATATATTGCTTCCGTACAATTAGTAATCTCAAACAAAAAAAATAATAATAATACTATCAGAAAAAATTACCGGTATACGCTCAGCAAAATTATTGTTTTTTAAATTAGTTGCTAAAAAATTGTGAAATTTTAAAATTATTTTGTTGTTTGCATTTAAAATAACGCCTAATTTTATTTTTAAGGAAATTTTTTATTAAATAAAAGTTTGGATAAATGGCAGTTGCTAAAGGAAAGATTATTGCAGTAATAGCTGATCGGGTAGATAAACTATGGTTTCTAATAAAATTATTACAGCATTCTTTTTCTTTATTTAAATTTGTTATTGGATCTAAAAAACAAAATTCATCTGAAAGTAATACAAGAATGAATCATCATATCTTGTTACTTTGTATAGAATGGCATAAATATAATTTTAGGATACCTGTACTGGATTTCTTCTTGGTGGAATAGGTGAAATTAATGCAAAGCGACAAAAGAATTTTTTGGTCGTTGGGAAAGGTAGGTTTGAATAAGTTAACCGAAAAAGTATAAAGAGTTTACAAATGAGTTAATAACTATAGTTTCTGATTGATGAAGATATATATATATATATATATATATATATATATATATATATATATATATATATATATATATATATATATTCATTCATAACTTGTTTCAGAAACAACTGTTCAAGAAATACAGGATGCATTTGTTAAGTTTACTACACGAGCTGATGTTGCCATTATACTTATTACACAAAAGGTATTTTATAGATTTTTTCATGCTAATTATTTAAATCGTAGTTCTGACTACAAACCAGTACGCTTGCATATATTATAATTTATAGTATAATTTATTTCCAATGTTATAATTTTTTTTAACTCCCAGCAAGTCTGCAAGTAATTGTTTTTTTTTTGTTGGGACTTACAAAAAAACAAAGAAAATTGTTAAAGAGCAAAAAAACAGTTGACAAAAGAATTGAATGTTTTGTAAGTTGCAAGAGTTAGGAAAAAATGAAAATGGGAGAGAATACCAAAGCATTGAAACAGATTCAGTTAGTGTGCAACTTTGCTGAATGATGAGATATGCAAGAATGAGTTTTGGTTAATGGAACATTAGATTGTAGCTCATTTAATCAGCAATCTTGAAAGTATTTGTAGAAATCGAAAATGATATAATTTATCAAAGATGGGACAAAGTCTCATAATTGACAGTTACACCAGGTCCAACAAAATTTATAAATGTTTTTAGACTTTGCCTAGAAGCAAAAGGATATCCTAAAAATTCCATTCCAGTTAAGTCAAAAGATTTACTATAATTCTTCAATGTGTCTTAATGGTACTGTTTAGAAATTCTTAATCTGAGTCACTAAGCACTTCCACATGTAAGAAATAACATTCTAGTGACAAATAATTTCAAATATGTTTTGAAAGCTGTGATCCTACTCAGCTCATCACCCTTCAGACATATCAATGTTCAAAAGATAATATACCAAAAAAACACTCTAGATCTATTAATAGCAAATAATTCCAATGTATTGTAGCCCATGTATGACAACAGTATTTAATAAAGAACAAGTAATGGTTTCCTTGAGAGCTCAATAATGAATGATAATCCTAGAAGACATAAAGTAGAGGTTCAGTAATAGTATTGCTAGTTGAAGAGCAAAAAAACAGTAATAGTGTTGCTATTTATCAACACAGGAATATCAACATTATTGTGATTAATGTAACCAAATTATTAACAGTAAATAGCTGAGTTTTGTTGGGTTAAAATTCAAACGCCACTCCATATCTCATGTTGTCACTTAAGAGAGATCAAATTCACTGCAGCTAAGACTGCATTGTCAAATGCTGACCCTAATTCAGAGGGTCGTCATTGTGAGTATCTATCTAGATATTGACATATTTCATATGTAAAAGACACTTTTCTAACTGAGATAGAACCAACAAATATCATTAAAGCCACCAAAATCTGCTAAATTACATTTGGTTCTTGTTTAAGTTCTGTTGGCGATAGAAAGCTGAAAATATGTACCTTTATATATGTTGGGGTAAGGAATCTAATGAAACAACTTCAAGCAAGGAAAAATAACACAACACCATAGCGAAATTAATATGAAAACTTTAAAATTTAAAAACTAAACTAATTAACTAACTAATAAACTAAATTTTATTTGTTATAGTTATATAACATTCATTTCAATATTATAAAATTGGCCTGATCTTGTTGTCAAGGCATAAATTACTGATAAAATTTGACAATATATTCAACAGACATCATCTCTCAGTGGCCTAATGGTAGTATATTCTAGTTCTTGGAACAGTTTTATTCCATATCAAGTAATTTCTCTAGTTGTTATTGACTTTTTTTTTTGTTAAAAAAAATATAATTGTAATTAAGTTTTATACCACTAATATAAAATTATAATTTTATATTAGCGGTATAAAACTTAAACATATTATCAACTGTCTATATTTAGTTTCCAGTCTTTGTAAACTTGCTCTTTTTGTTGTCCTCCTATACTATCACAAAAAAAAACACCCATTGAGCTGTTACTTAGACATCTTTACGGTGGCATAGATTTAAAAAGTTTTTATAGTTTTAACAATAAGCAGATTTTCTATCAAAGTAATATTAATTTTTAATGATATCCTTTAAATATTATAAATAATGTATCCTACATTTTTCTTTGAAATTCATACACAAACCATGTATTGTCATAGTCATCAGTTAAAAATTTATGCTCTGATAACTTATGTGAAGTTTTTTGTTTAAAAATTTCCTTAGAATGTATAACAGATTCATGTAATGTACATTGTTGTTTATTCCAAACTTTCTACTTCATCTTGTGTTAAAGGCTTACAGCTCTTTGCAAAATCTACCAGAATAATGTTGAAGTTGTGAGTATAATTTATTTTTATGAATTAGATAGTAGAAAAAGACATTCATTAAAACCTAGACTAATTTTTAGCCTCTTTAAAAATGCTTTTAAGCTGTTAAAATCTAGACATTCGGTTGTGTATTGACTATCTATGAACCAATCATTTATTGTTGTTTTGAATCACATTCTAATTTTAGATTAGCATCGAAGAATACAGATACACATAGTATATAAATTGGTCCCTTGCTAATACATAATTTTGGATGCAAACTACAAAACTTAAAAATCCTGTTTTAAAATTAGAGTTTTTAATTTTAACATTGTTATAAAAGTTATGGAGGTTGCATAACATCTTTTTTGTTGTGGAGGACCATCTTTAACCTTAACTCAATATTTTTTACCATGCATAGTTCTGCAAAATTCCTCTTGTACTAAACAACTAATATAACTAAAAATACTATATACCAGGCTTGGTCGGGAAGCGGGTGCGATTGCACTCAATAACTGACCACGGAGATAATATTTAGTTGCGAAAAACCAGCCAGTTTTTTTGGTCGTTTTGAGAACATTTAAGTTTATGTATGTTTCCTTGTTTGTCTGCAAAATAATAATTAAGTTAATTATTATTTTTATAGAAAATAATAATTAATTATTTTATCGTAAATTTTAAAATATTTTGTTTTACGGACATACATGAAAACATACTTAAAACCCAAACATCTTTGTGCGGAAAAATGAAAAAAGTATATTCGCAAACACAAAAAACCCGCCAAATCTACTAACAACTAATTCTATTGGTTTAAAAAATACTAACCGAAATTTCTAGAATATTCAAAAAATACTAACCGAATGTGTTAGAGTATTCTGTTGAAATAATTTGAAAAATTTTATTATTTAAGTTTTGCTATGTTTTTGTTGAGATTTCTAGCATAAATTGTTTTAAAAATATACTATCCTGGGCCAAAAACACCGGGGAGGCCAAGGAGCATGTACCCTCCCCCCCCCCCCCCCCCCCCCCACACACACACATGCTTTTTTTCTAGAGGACCTTTTTTTTTAAGAAAGGATTTTTTAAAGAAATTTTTTTTAAGATAAAGAGGACTTTTTTCACAAATTGTGCCCCCCTCCTCCCACTTCAAAACCTGTGTCGTCGGCCCTGCTATCAAACAAACTATTATTTTAATTCTCGGAGCCACATCTACGAAGCTATAAATGTTTTAAACTAACATTATTTGTTTACAAAAATAAATGTTTTGAATTTTATATTTTTTAACTTGTCAACGTTTTGTAAATATATTATAGGTTTTATTAGTATAATCTTATTTTTTATATATAAGGGATGTATTTTTTATGTATATAATGTATTTTTATGTATGTCATGTATTTTTATATATGTATTTTTTATGTATGTAATTTTATGTATGTGTATTTTATTAAAATGTAGTATCTTCTGTGTATCCGATAACTGATTCTTTCCCCCAAGAAATAAAAGTTTTTAAGTTCTTAGAAATTGGTTTACTAACTTCAATTATTTTTGCTTCAGCCATTCTTACAAACTTGTTATGCTTTAACTTACTTTTTTCTGTTTTAAATACTAATTCAAATTATAAAGCCCACTCACTAAACATCATCAACAATATTGTGAAGCAGTTCCGCTTCTTCCTCACAAAGTAATTTAACGATTTTAGTTCATTTCTACCTAGCTAATTGAATTTCTACAGTAACTTAATGATTTAATTATTTCATTTGTTCATCTTACCAAGAAGAATTGTTTTAAATGTGTGAAACTTTTCAAATTACGCGAAGCATAAAATAGTTATTGAAAAAACTTTTTTATTTATAAATAAATCATATAGCGTTAGTTTTATTGGTTGAATCTTGTAGGACTTTTAGGGCCGGGGGCCGCATTACTTTGGTGGCCTTTTTTATGTGCCACATCGTAAAAATATCCTTAACCCAGCACTGGAAATAAGACATAAGTGTATTAATAAAAATTATATATGTTCTTTGATAAATCGAAGAACATTTGTTTCTTTATTAAACAATCATTTATAGTAAATTGTTACTTTATATAAAAAAATGTCGCTTAATATTATAATTAAATTATAAAAGAGCGACGTTTCAAAAATATTTGCTCTAATCTTATTTATTTTGCTTAAATTTTTTTTGCATTAAAAGCAATTTTTCTTTTTTTAACTGTCATCTGTCCAGTTAATCTTATTGCGCCTTTTTGTTTGATTTTTAAATGTTCTCACAACGACTAAACAATTTTTTGCAACTAAATATTATTTCCGTGGTCACTTATTAAGATCGCACACGCTTCCCGACCAAGCCTGTTATATACTATACTTAAAAAAAAGCAATAATATTTTTTATTCAATAATTTTTTTATTCAAGACTTTTTTTTCCATGTAAAATGTTGCAATTACTTGTATCTATGTTAATTTTAACAAAAATGTTTCGATTCATTAAAGTTGAATTGTTCAGTTAGTTAAATTTTATGTTATACAAAAAGATCACTCTCCGACTTTATTTTTTGAGGTTAAGCCCAAGTTACTTGAGCTAGACTTCTAGAAAATATTACGTAAATTGCCCCAGTAAAATTATTGTAAATACTTAACTTTTTTGGATCAGATTTTATAAAATCTTACCTAGTTAACAGCAACAGCAAGTCATCCACAACTAAAGGAACTATTGATAAAATATATGTTTTTGATGATATTTATGTTTTATAATTAATCTTAAATTATTAATTTTATAATTTTTAAAATTCCTTGTTAACATATTAGTTGTTACTTCTAATTTTAATAAAGTTGCAGGCCTTGTTTTAAATAAAATAATACTTAATGCATTAGACTGACGTGAATTTGACCTCATA